GACCTCAGCGCTGTGGCCGTGTCTCGCCTCACCGACGTCCCCTCCGACCCGTTCGTTCCCGCGCCGGCCTCCGACTCGCCGCCGGCGCTGTCGTCGCTGGGGGAGCCGCCGGCGGCAGACGCGTCGCCGCGGTCGGAGCCGGTCGCCGAGCCGCCGCGCGCCGCGCTGTCGGCCGTCCGGCGGCTGGACGCCGACGCCGAACGAACTGTAGCCGGCGGCGAGGCGTTCGACGAGCGGCCCGAGGCCGGTGGCGACGAGCCGGAAGAGCGGCCCGTGGCCGGCGGCGACGAGCCGAACGAGCGGCCGGCGGCGGCGGCGGCGCTCGTCTCCAGCGAGCCCTCAGAGGTGAGCCCGAGAGGCGGCCGGCGCTCGCACCGGTCGCGCAGCCGCTTCCAGCTGGGCAGCACGAACGCTTCGGAGGGGATGTGCAGCGACAGCGACGAGTCGTGCGACTCGCCAGCCGACGTCAGCGAGCCGGACGAGGTCGCCTCGAGCTCGTCCGGTCGCGCGGCGGTGGGCGACGCGGCGGCCGCCAGCGACTCGGACACCTGCACGCCTTTGTCGGCGGCCGGCGTCGGCTGCAGCAGCGTTGCCAGCCGCCGCAGGTCGGCCGAGGGTCGCGCGCCGGCGCCGCCCGGTCGCAGCTTGCGGCTCAGCGCCGAGACGAAGCTGTCGGCGTCCGGCGCCGGCGGCGCGCTCAGCAGACTGGCGGCAAGCGGAGCAGGAGGCGGCGGCGGAGCCTCCAGCTCGGTCTGCAACAGCGCCCCGCGTCAGGTCAGCGGCCGCCACCGGCGACACAGGCGGAGCGTGACGAATGCAGGACGGAGACAGAACGGAGACAATGGACGCAGCTCGTCACATGCGCATGAGAGCATGCCAGGACGTGAAAACTAGTGCGCATGTATGGATAAATGCGTGTACGCTAGCACGTACAAATACACATAATGTGATGTGCAGCCAACCGTCACCAACCGGTCTGCTGAGCCAGCGCCGAGTAACTGTCAACAAAGGCGACTTGACGCACATAAGCCCACCCCGGCAAATGATGCTGCAAACGGAAATAGGCACAAGGTATTGGATCTCCACCAACATACGGCACACACACCGTAACTATCCAGCACCCTGCGCCTGTAGTCCAGGCTGTCGACCGGGCGTCCCACCTGCGTCGCCGCGGTGAGCAGGACAGCGGGCACCGGCGCCGGCGGGGAGACCAGCGCGCCGACCAGCTGCTGCCGCGCGTGGCACACTTCCAGCGAGGCGGCGTCACCGGTGCCGCCGGCGGCGCCCGGGCGGCCGCCGCGCGCCAGGAAACCCTTCAGCGCGTCCTCCATGGCGGCGAACGCCTTCTGCCGCCACTCGGAGGCGACAGCCGGCGGCGGCGGTGGCGGCGGCGGTGGCGGCGGCGGTGGCGGCGGGCCCGCGGCCGGGCTGGAGGGCCCGTCCGACGCCTGCCGTCGGCCGTCATCGACCGTGGCCGGCGCTGCGTCTGCGCGGCTCCTGTCGGACCGGATGTGGACTCTGTCGTGGGGCGTGAGACCCCCGCTCACATCCTCACCGGTGCACTCGTCATTTCCGACGCTCTCATTTCGTTCTCTACTGGTCCACTGCCGGTCTGCGCCGATATTCTCTCGTTCTCGGCCAGCGCTGATGCAATCTCCTCCTGTTCTGTCCCGGCCTTCTTCACTTGTGCCCCCACTCCCTGTCGTGTCCCGCCCCTGATCGGTCCTGCCCCCGTTTTCCTCAGTGCCGTCTCGATCTGCTCCGCCCCGGCGCCGACTCACGCCGGCTCTGTCCCGACCTGCTCTGCCTCTGTCCAGCTCTCCGCCGCTCCTATCCCGGTCTCCTTTGCTCGTGCCCTGGGTTCCGTCGGCCACGCGCCGGTCGGAGCGCGCCCTGGCCGCGTCGCCCTCGCGCCGGCCGCTCGAAGGCGTGCCCCCGTCGCGGTCCCCCGGCGCGCCGCTGACCGGGTGCTCCAGGCCGCGCCGCAGCTGGTCCTCCGGCTGATCAGCCCCGCTGTCACCTGCCAGCAAGCCAGCCGGCATACAGGGGCCGGACACGCCAGGCGGCGGACGCGGCACTGCGACGGACATCGAGCGGCTGCCATGTTGTTTCGCGCAAAATGGGTACACTTCAGGCTGCAACGCTACTCAATTGCCTGCACTCAGAATGGCCATGACATAAAGCATGAATCTTGTCCACTACCAAGTACTACGCAATCACATCTGATCAAACACACCTGACATAAAGTGATTAGTCGGTGCACTTCCGACCAACTCAATCAACGGGGTAGCGCTCCTTTACGCTCCATGGTGCTTTACTTTACTTTACGGTGTATGATACACGCGTCTAGCGTCACTCTCGCAGCCCAGCATGCTCCATTTAGAGTTACGCCGCTGACTGCGTTGGTTGCTGGAGGCAACACAAGACTGAGCCGCCACCGCCGGAGCGATAAGACCCCTGTGACAGCTCGCCGTGCTCACCGTGCGTCTCTCTGCTGAGCTCCTCCCGCATCTGGCTGACCTCCCGCTCGACACGGAGCCGGATCTGCCGCTCGGCCCGCTCCCGGCTCGGGTCCCGGTCCCAGTCCCGGTCCCGGTCCCGGCTCCGGTCCCTGTCCCGGTCTGTCCTGGGCGCGGCGTCCAGCGCCGTCAGGCTGCGGCTCTGCTCGTCGTGGCCGCGCCGGCCCAGCTCGGCCGCCATCGTCTCGAGCAGCGCGCGCCGGCCCGCGCCGCCGCCGAACCGGAACGCGCTGTGACCGGCGAAGCGGGCCAGCTCGGCGGCGGCGTCCGAGACCAGGCTGGGCGTGCTGCGGCTGGCGGCCGGCAGCGGCGGCGGTGGCGGCGGCCGCGGACGGGGGGCGGGCCGCGGCCGGCCACTGGCCGGGCCGGCTGAGCCGGCCGGGCGGTGGGCCGGCGGCCGCGGACCGCGCCCCGCCAGAGGAATGTGCAGTGCCACACCGGTGGAAGCCCGCTTCACCACGATGGCCCCCTGATCCTCGTCCTCATCCTCTTCCTCTTCATCCAACTCCAGCGGCTGGCGGTGTAGGGAGACGCGGGGGTTCTGAGATAAGACACGCTTAGGGTACAGGTGCCACATACAAAGCACAGCACAGCTTACACAGGTCGGGACCTGAGGCACGCTGCCCAGGCGTCCATGTTTACCAACGCTACACTGGCCCACGAGCGTTCGCTCTCGCCAATTCAACGAATTTTTCAAGATCACGCAGAATGCTTTCAACATAGAAGAGGCGGGACCTAACGCCACGATCCAAACCAACTCTCACATCCACTACTGACTCTCGTCATTATGCCGCCCACCTGCCACTCGCGCTCCAGCTGGTCGTGCCGCTTGGCGTGGGCGCGCTTGCGCGCGCGGCGCACCTGCTGCTGGCAGTCGGCCTGCAGCTGGTCCAGTTGCTGGCGGCGCGCCTGCTCGCGCTGCCGCCGGCCGGCCGCCTCCTCGGCCCGGCTGCGGCGCAGCTCGGCGCGCCGCTGCGCGATGAAGCGGCGCACCTGGCCGCGGTCGTAGCTGCGCGGCCGCGGCGCACGCTCCTGGCGCTCGGGCTCAAGGGCGCGCGCTAGGCGGCGGCGCACCTCCGCCAGCGGCTGCTGCGACGGACGGCGCGCCACACGGCCCACCGCGCTGGCCGTCCGCTTGGTAGGACTGGGCTTCGGCGGACTGCCCGGCTTGGCGCGGGCGGCCGTGGGCTTCGCAGGGCTCCGTGGTTTGGTCCGAGCCGAGGCGGGCTTCCCGGGGCTGCCCGACTTGGCCCGGCCGGCCAGGCCGGCCAGCGCCCTGTCCGGCCGCGGTCCTCTCCAGGTCAGCGAGCCCCTGGCGTTAGTCGGCGGCGCGGACCGGCCGCCGGCCGGGGCCGTCCGCGCCCCGGCCCTGGCCGGCACCGGCGCGGCTGGCTCCGCCGCCGCCTCCACCGGCGACTGCGGCAGGCAGCCGGGTTCGGACGCCCGCTCCGAGCGCGACGTGTCGGGAGGGTCGGCGGGGTCAGTCGCCTGCAGAGGCGCCTCGCCGTCCGGCGACGCGCTCTCCGCCCTCTGCTGCGACGCCTGCCGCCGCCTCTCCGATGACCCACCATCGCTCGCGGCCATCGCGCGCGCCCCGCCGTCGGCCGCCGGCCGGGCGTCCGGCGACCCGAGCGCCGGCGCCGACACGGCCGCGCCCGGCGCCGCTCCCGGCGAGCCGCGGCCGGCCTCCGCGCCGTCAGCCGCCGCCTCCTCGCCGCCCGGCGCCGGGTCTGACAGCCAGCTGCCGGACGGCCGGCGCACGGGCGAGCGGGGCAGTTGGCGGCCGCGCGGCGGCGGCCCGCGCGCCAGCGGCGAGCGCGGCCGGTACGCCGGCGGCGTGCTCACCGTACTGAAGAAGTCTGGCGGCAGGAGGAAGTCCGGACTGAGAGGGGAGCGGTATACAGGGGCTATTCAGCCACGAGTGTAACAGCTTAACTTCCACATCGATGGCATGTGATTACACCTAGATGACAATTCCAAGTGCGCAATCCCAGATCAATTTTCCCAGCCGCGCCAAAAGCGCCCGAAATTGTTGCGCGACCATTTCATGGGAATTCCCAGGACGGCTTAGACAGTGTGGGTAAAATACCCGAAGTGCAGCTCACTTGTGATACATTCAAAGCACGATTCACTTTCACCGTGACGCTCGTCGTACATCAACCCATTTCCTGGTGCTCAAAATGATTGATTGTGGTCAAGTGACAGACACGATTGATCGCTGCCGCGCCCAGCCGACAGGCATGACGGCCGGCGATGCCACCCGCGCCATTACCTCGTCGCTTCGGCGCCACCTTGCGGACCCACTTCCCGGCCGTGATCACGCGCCGCTCGGCGCGCGGTCTGCGCGGCTCCTCCACGCGGCGGGCGGCGGCGGCAGCGGCGCGTCGCTTCGGCGTGGTGGACGCAGTGGCGCCACCTGCGCCGTCCACACGCGACTGGCGCGCCACCCTGCGCGGCGGCGAACCGGCCGGCAGCAGGACGGGCGCCGAGGGCCGTAGGGAGACGCCAGTCAGGGAGGTCTGCGTGCCGCCCAGCCGCGACCGGTGCGAGCTCAGACGAACCGGGCCAGACTCGTACTCTGCGGAGTACACAGCAAAAACAGCCGACCCGTCAAAGGTGGGCACGTTCACTCACGGTGATAGGAGCACGCGTCGACTTGCAGTCGCAGGATCGCACATCGACTGCAGTAAAAGGAGGGTTCACAAACTTGCGGTCACAGGAGGGCACGCCAGCCGATACTCACATTGAGGTACACCAACCGGTGGTTACAGGGTCACAGATGGCGCACAGACTAGAGGTCACAGGAAGGCACACTAGCGGGCGGTCGCATGGAGTTGCGGCGGCTGGCAGTAACGGATAGGCACACCGCCCTGAATTCACAAGAGGACACACCAACCGATGGTCACAGGGCGGTGCACCAACCAGCGGCTTCCACAGAGTACACCAACGAACGGCTACAGAAGCAGCTCCTCCCCTTCGAAGAATTACTCGGTATCAGCTAACAGCGACCGACCGGCAGCTACATAAAGGTCCAAGCCCGTGTCCTGTGGGGTGCTCCGGATCACGACCACGCCAGCGAACCCCCTCGTAAGCTGTAGAGTGTAGAGGCCTGTGGCGACGGGAGAGTCGCCGCTCCATCCTCATCGGAGCACGCAGCACACATAAAAAGTGATCTACGGGAATCACCAACCGGCCTCTGTAAGAGGGGTGGCGTAGGGGTACCGATACTGTAGTGGTTCACGGTCTGCGATTGCCACTGGGCGACTGGGAAGCCAGAGGTGCGCGGTTCAACTCCTCGCGGTGCCCACCTTTCCTGCCAGGGTGAGAGGCAGGCGACGCTGTATAGCCTCAGCAGCTGAGTGCGTCGTAAAGCCCCTATGCCAACAAGAGGGCTGCGTAGTGCCAAGTGCATCATACCGCACAGCACCGACGAAAAGACCATCCGACAGTTGTAATAGTATCCGGTGCGTTGTCTCATGGACAGTGCTGAAGGGCCAGTCGTGCGTGTCACGTCAACAACACTTCAAAGGGCTTATGAGCGCTCGTCTTTGTGTAAATGAAATGGCAACGCGCTCTTATGCTGAGGTCAGACTATAGCTCTGACCCACCATCGTAATACACCACTACATCAGTTAACCTCGCTTGCCGGCAATTAGGAGATCTACGACAACCTTGAGCCAGCACAGCTGCGTATCCAGTTTCGGTGATTTGTTTGGTGATTGCCCGATAGTTTCCTACTTCTTAATTTTTTATCTGCACATTCATTTACCTCGCCATTTCCGTTCATTCGGTTATTTCAAGTAATCTCACCAAGTTTTGAAATCTACCGACTGTAACCACGGCTCGGCTGGTGCTTTGAACATTCTGACGTCGCGAGTGTAAGACGCCACCACGGCACTGCGGACACCAGCGTGCAAATAGCCGAAGGGCAGGTCAGGTCGCAAGCTGCAAGCACGAGCAAACTTGCCCATTGTGCAGAGATTTTGTTTATTCCATTTACGCGCTTGTCAGATCTCATTCAAATGCAGCTTGGATGGATTTGAAAACGTAAAAACTTCAACTTTGCTGCGACAGTGACCACACGTGGTACATAATGGAGCAACAAGTCAATTCCTGTTAACATCGATCCTTCGCTGCATAATCGCGTAACCAACTCTAGCTTGGCCACACGTTACGACGTCAGCGTATAAGCCGTGACAAATGCTGCAGTCGTCTCTTGTCATTTGTGGCGTCGGTAAGCTCCTGAACCAGTTTGGCTTCACGCTCTGCACCTTCGTGAACTGCGGCCAGATATTTTGCATTGTCCCGAAGCCTGCAGAACCTTGCGTTATCCTGCCGTGCTATCAATGGCTGGCAGGTTCCTCAAGTCACCAACTACAGCCAGCTACAGTCAACATTGTGACAGGGAGTCGACCCCGGACTGACCAGCGAAGCCCAGTCACGTAAGTATATCCAGAGCATGTAACAATCCCGATAGTGCTACTTCCAGGCCCAGCACCGATAGAGTATCCACCGTTAGGCCGCCAGGCCCATTTCCAGTCACATCCGTGTGGAATGAGGAGGACGTGACATGAGATGAATCCAGATATTGTGTGTCCCTTTGAATCAATCGCCGACCCCGCAATAGCTTTGAATATTGTCATTTCTATCAACCTCAGCATATCCAAGGTATAGCCATACTTTTAAGTGGAAAGGACTGTTCTAGACAACACAGTTTTTCTATTCAGTAACTACGTTTCTCATAGCGTCATTGTTTGATTACGTCATGTTACCTTGCACAACATTGACTGGGAGGCAATTTATGATCGTTACATCTGGAAATCGTGTTCACGAACGCCAGATATGAACGGTGCGACAATTATACTTGTATTGGCCTTGATCGCCGCATGGCCCATGGAATAACAGTATTTGAATGACGTTGTTATAACCGTATGGATGCCTGATTGAAGTGTTTTTTGCATACTTGCCCACGATGTATTCTCTTTTATTTGCATTAACACGCTTGGTTGCGACACTCTTCTTACGGTCATTCGACTTTCAGTCTGATTTACGCCATGACTAATACCATTGCCAAAATACCTGTGTCATGTATCACAAAATGTTGCTTGCGTTCGAAACTTTCATTTAATGAGTCAAGTTGGTTGAAAGCTTACTGTCGTCCGTTAGTGCTATAATTCGTTGCCGACAGAAATGAACAACTGACCATACTTCTCATGACACAACATGGTCATTAACACGCGCTCGCGTGGGGTCAAATTGACCCCCCTGGAGATTTTTCCAGAATGGTTTCCGAACGGCGCGGCGCAGCCCCGTTAAATTTTGCGTAGCTGTAGACAATTGAATAGCGGATCGTTTGGCATAAAATTTTAGATGTAACTTGTAAGGTCGCTGACCTATGGCAGGTCAAAGTCAGGCCACGGTTTAAGCGAAGTCAGTTTCCAGGAAATCCTTCAATCTGATGCAACAACGGAGTGTTAGATGAAGCCGTACATCTCTAAGATGTTTTCTTAGACAACCCAAATATTGAATGAGAAAATAACCTTGACCTAAGGTCAGGTATACAGGTCGGACCAAGGCCAAAATCAACATGTTTTATTACTGTAGGGCTTGCTGTATGGGATGGTTTCTGGTGCTCATTTCAAATTTATTGATAGCAGAAACCGCATTACACATCTTCCATGGACTTCTTAGAGGTCAGAATAGGTCATTGGCGTGAAATGACCTAGGTCAGCATTTTTTTTTTAGGAGCATACTTCCTGTTGTAATCTTTGTCGCTTATTCAAATGCAAAACCCAGAGCAGTCTTGTATGATTTTGGCCACCATGACCTTCAAAAGGTCAAACAAGGGTACTGACCTTAGCTGAGCATGTGATCTCTTACTTACAAACAGTTATTTAGTTTATGGGGGCACCTTGGAGACCAACATGTAATTTGGCCTTGTTTCACCTTATTTTGCCCGAAGGTCATGACTTAGGAATCCAAAACTTTGACCTGAAGCTTTGACCTCATGAGTTCACGTACAGGTCAGCACACCCTGTAAATTTGGTGTCTCTAGCTTTCTTAGTTTCCGAGTTCTCAGGGGGGGGGGGGCAAATTGACCCCCCACCCGAGCGAAAGGTATCTATCCGGCCACCCGGGCGCGTGTTAAGGAGGCGGAAGCGCGTGACGTTTCTATGACGTCACACTTCTCTAGGTGACTTCACATTGGGCGGTACGAAATAGTCTGCATAGGTTTGGGTGCGCTTAGCTTAGGAACGAGGGGGCATGAATCCAAGACGGGCATAACTGCTAACTGCAGGGCATGATCTTGAAAATGACTATTCCAGATCAAAACCTTAATCAAATTTGGAACGGCTTAACGAAGGTGCAGAACACGAAGTCAAGCTGGTCCAGGAGCTTATCGATGTCGCAACTGACGAAATACAGCTGCAGACTCTGGCCCAGGTTGCAGATCAGCACCGGAACATAGGACCAAACAAGAACTGATTATATGATCAAGCAGCAAACGATGAAAGTCAACGAGAATTGACTTGACAACGGTTGCTGACTATACAACAGAAAGACGCAATGCAGCAATGAATGGAACAGCAAATGCAGCACCGCTACAGCACGGGCCCCGTGCTTGTTCGGGCCCGTGAGACAATCAAGATCTCGTGCGTCGCCATGCGGCCCCGGGACGTGTTGAGCCGCAAGTCCATTAGCTGAACAGAGACGGGGGGGGGGGGGGGGGGCGTCGGGGCTTTACGACGCACTCAGATGCTGAGGCTTTATGGCGTCGCCTGCCTCTCACCCTGGCAGGAAAGGCGGGCACCGCGAAGAATGGAACCCCGTACCCCTGGTTTCTCTGGTACCCTTGGTTTCCTGTACCCCTGGAACAGAGACGGGGACCGGGCTCCGAGTGACAGAGGGCCTCTTGCGTTGCTCGGTGTCCTCTGACAAGGAAAGAAGATATGACAAATGACGATGAAAGGGACGATTGTGCATAAAAAGACAGTCTATACTTGTTAATCATACAACGGGCATTGACCTTGTCGCCAAATCTGTACCCATTTATGCTTACTGGTTCATAAAAACTTGATGTTTGTGGTCCATGCAATTTTTGTGTGCTTGTCTGCGTCCGTGTGTAGCACACCCTAAGAGGCATTTTGATGAGATCTGGCCAGCATTTAACTGACACGAACAAAGCCATTCTGCGACGGACAAATTTGCTGACATTTGCAGTTCGCGAAATTGCGTGTGCTTTTGGCTGAACAGATGCCTTAACTCCACATACTGCATAAAAAGAATGACGATGTGGCCCACTTTGCTTACAATAAATGACATGGCCACAAGCCGATATAAGTTCAGGACCTTTGCTCACAAGCTATGCAGCGAAAGCAACGCTCTGTTAGTGTTTGGCATCAGAAAGCGTCCAAATATTCCAGAGGACCAGAGGAAGCCTCAGTTAAGGTTGGCGTAGTCCAAAAATGGCAAAGGTTTCTTAATATCTCCAAGCAAACAGCAAAACCGGCGTAACTGGACGTTTCAAAGAACTTCTTAAAAAGTTCACCACCTACAGACCAGCTCCGCTTCTGGGCC